GTCAGGGCGGGTGTGTCCGGGGGCATTTCCGGCCCCCCCGGCCACCCCCAGGGTCGTGCCTGGGGGACTGAGGCTGTAAGTCCAGGAGCTGCTTCCCGTGTCCAGGCTGGAAGGCCCGGGACAGGGAGCTGGGGCTCCGTGTTGGTCGCTGTGGCTCTGCTCTGTGCTGTGGGCAGCCAACAGCCTGCTCTGGTGGCTTGTGTTACTGCTGTTCTTGTACCTTCTCTCGTCTTCACGGCACCTTTATTCTCTCCTGTGCGCCTTTCTGTATCTTTAGGCACCTAAGAGGCAGCTGTGAAGCAGCGTGAATAGGTGAAGTTTGTGTTGGGCACACGGGAGATCTGGCTCATTCCGGAGTTGCAGCTCCATCTGTACCCACACCTGAGCTGGCACGTGTTCTGCAGTGCTGTGCATCCTTGCTAGAGCAGTGTCCTGCTCCCTAATCAGCACAGAGAGCAGATGAGCTATCGAGTGCTGAGAGGATAGGATGAGTGCTCCTGCTTCTTAACAGCATTTCACATTTAAATAGCCAAGAGTTTATTTTTAAATCAATACTCACAATGTACCTTTTAGGAGATCCCATAGAGGTCAAGAAGCTGGCAAGCAAAGAAATGCCTGTCTGTGGAGGAAGGAGGTGAGCAGTTGGTGTTCTCATAAATCACTGCTTCCCAGAGTGACCAGGATTTCTTTCACTTACCCCAATTACTGTGACACTGCTTTTTGTGGTGTCCACCTGAGCAGTCAGTCACAATCAACTGAGAAGGTAAATGTAACAGTCTGGTGTGAAAGGCACTTAGTGAGTCTCCTGGCATTTACCGAGGTGATAAAATTACTGGTCTTGGACATAATTTAAACCCCTCCATCCTGTCCTACAAAGCATCACCTCTTCTACCCTGGGTGAATGATGGAAATCACTGAAGATAAATGTTTGAGATGAGAAACTACAGCGGAAAAACCTTGGTGTCCGCGCGAAAGATGAGGGACGAGGCAGGCGAGCTCTGAACCAGCCCTCCCGCTGGCAGCGACTCCCGTTTACCCAATTCCACAGCGCAGGTGAGCGACAAGTTTGCAGTAAATGCCATTTTAGCGTCGTCGTCAGTTGTTCAAAGCGGCTTTACAACACGTAGCGAGCGGAAAACGACACCGGACACGCTAACGCTGAGCTGTCGGCTCCCGAGGCCCAGCACCCGCCCCACTCCGGTTCCGGGCCGCGGAGCTGCAGCGCTGCCCCCGTTTCCGCACTACACCTCCCGGCATGCCCCGCTCCCGCCGCGCCTTCCCGCGGGCGCCGCGCCACGTCGAGACTACATTTCCCAGCAGGCCCCGCGTTACGAACGCACGGCGCCGCGGCGTCGCCCCGCGCAGGCGCGGTGTGGGCTGGGC